GTAAAGTTTACAGAATGTATACACCTTTTGATCCTACTGTTCCTGAAAACCATCAGCTAATTAATACAACTTTTGTAACCCAGTTGGCACCAGACATTAGAAGGAAAATCCAAAGGCAGGAGACTTGGGAAGGCATGAATATAACGCAATTGTTGCAATTAGCTGGGAAAGAATATGTGAATAGAGAGCCAGTGAAAGAGAAAGAGAGCCAGGAAGGAAGATAGCAGTAGCTATGGGAGCCAAGGAAGAGAAGGAAAAAGAAAGACAAGGCTCAAGGAAAAGAAAAAGCAAGACTTGAAGGAAAGGAAGGATACTGGCACATTGTTGCCTGTGATGGAGGACAGTGACTGACACAGACCAGGCTCAATGAAGCTAGGCCCCCATGAGCCCATGGTTGATATATAGATAGAGGCCAAAATATGTCCTTAGTGGTGGAGAGTGGTGCAGAACATTCAGTAGTAACAGCTCCAGTTGCCCCTCTGAGTGGAGAGCACATCCAAATGATTAGTGCCACTGCAATTTTTAAAAAGTGCCCATTTTGCTATGAAAGGACATGTGAAATTGGAGGACATAAAGTGAAACATGAATTCTTGTATGTGTCAGAATGTCCTAGCCCCTTACTAGGAAGAGATTTATTATCTAAATTGGGAGCTACAATAACTTTCACCCAATGAGTAAATGCATCTCTGCATTTAGAACCAGGAAGAGATCTCATCATGATGGTAACAACTAAAAGAGAGGGTGAATGGCAGTGTTACAATGTGGACGATGTTTTCCAGGCTCTGCAAGAATTAAGAACTATGTTTCCTAGAGTATTGGCAGAGGAATCACCCCCAGGCTTAGCTAAGAATCATCCACCCATTATAAAATTAAAAGATAATTCAGCCCCATTTGGTGTAAAACAATACCCAATGTTCAGGCAAGGCCAAATTGGAATTAAACCCCATATCATGAGATTAAAGGAATTTGGACTTATTAGAGAACATATGTCACCTTGAATCTCCCCTTTGCTGCCTGTTCGGAAACCCGATGGGGACTATAGGCCAGTGCAAGATCTATGGGCTGTAAATGACAGAACAGTAATGCTGCACCCAGTGGTCCCTAACTCCTATGCTTTGTTGGGTCTGATGCCCCCAGAAGCAGCATGGTTTACTTGTTTGGACTTAAAAGATGCCTTCTTTTACCTTCTCATCATGCCCCTCAGTCAACCCATCTTTGCATTCGAATGGGAAGACCGGAGTGATGGGGAAAAAAACTCAGTTTACTTGGACTAGATTGCCACAGGGACTTACAACTCACCCACGCTTTTTGGGGAAGCCCTGGCTCAGGACTTGCTTGCTTTCCCTGTGGAACAATATAGCTGTGTCCTACTGCAGTACTTGGCTGACTTACTGTTATGCAGCTCAACCCAAGAACGGTGCTGGGACGGCACCAAAAAGTTGTTGCTGCACTTACAAGAAAACTGGATATAAGGTATCATGGGGAAAAGCCCAGATTTGTGTACAGCATGTCAAATATTTAGGATTTCAAATAACACAGGGCATGTGTTGCCTAGGAAATAAAAAACAGGTTATTAGTGCCGTCCCTATACCCCAAACAAAGAAACAGCTGAGAAGGTTTCTTGGGGTAGCAGGCTTCTGTAAAATTTGGATTCTGGGTTTTACAGAAATCTCTAAACTCCTTTATGAAGCCCTAAAAGGACAAGAGGAAAATCACCTGCATTGGACTGTAAAACAGGAAGAAGCTATTAAAAAAAAATTTAAATTGACTTAGGCAGCCACCCCAGCCCTATGCATACCAGGTTGCCTATGCATACTAGATGTAAAGTGGCATTTTACTCTATATGTGACTAAAAAAACCCCAGGTGGCCCTTGGAATGTTGACCTAAGAAGTAGGCCCATGGAATCAACCGGTGGCATATTTGTCTAAGAATTTAGATTCAGTATCAAAGGATGGCCTCATTGTTTTTGGGCCTTAACAACTTCAGTTCTGTTGATTCAAAAAAACAGACAAGCTGACTTTAGGTAAGGAACTGACTGTGCAGGTTCCACACCCAGTCTTAGAACTGCTGAACACAAGGGAGCATCATTGGCTCTCAAACAATTGGGTTACTCAGTATCAAGCCCTTCTCTGTGAGAATCCCCATTTGTGGTTTATTTCTATAAAAACTTTAAATCCTGCTACCTTCTTGCCCACGGAGACAGGCCCTCCCAATCATGACTGCTTGAGTGTCACTGATGAGCTCTTTTCCAGCTGCCCTGACTTTCAAATGATACCCTTGTCCGATGGTGACCTCGTCTGTTCACAGATGGGAGCAGCTTCGTGGAAGATGGGGTTCGTCATGCTGGATATGTGGTAACCATGAAGGATGAAGTGGTCCTAGCCAGGGCTGTTGGTGCAATATGCTAAGTTCTGGGCACTTATACAGGCACTCCAATGGGCAAAGGGTAAAAAAGGTGTGTGT